CGAGCTCACGGTGGGCGCCGCGTGACGGAGGGGCAGCGCGGCCGGGCAGGCGGCCCGGGCCAGCTTTACCTGATCAGGAGGAGCCGGTCCTTCTCACACGGGTGGTCGTCCAGCCACTGGGAGAAGCGCGCGTGCGACCACTCGGCCCTCTGCAGCGTGGGGACGAGAGGAGAGAACACGTCCTCAGTGCACGCGGCAGGCCGGGCCGCGAGCGGCACCTCCCCACCCAGGAGCCCCAGGGTGTGCGAATTCACCCGAGTCGCCAAGGAAACAGGGCCTCCAGGAAAAAGCTTTGAGGACACAGTGACTTGCAACATTATTATCTGAAGACTAACTGGGCTTCCCGGGGAACTTTCCGAGCGCTCGGGACGCAGAGGCGGGCAGCGTGGGTGCGGGACTCGGCGGGGACAGCGGCGCGGCGTCCGTACCTGGAAGGGGGACTTCAGCTCCGCGGGCGCTCTGGTGAACAGAAACTGCAGGATGACACTGAAGGGGATGATCTCCCCCAGCGTGGGGCTGTTGGCCACGTGTTCGCTTGTCTGGAAGAGCAGCGGTCTACAAGAGCAGAGGGCAGGGGTTAACTTGCTGCCGGGGGCCGCGGGACGGGTGCGCATCCCGCTCCAGTGACACACTCCTCCCAAACAGGAAACTGCAGGGCCTCCTCCGCGCAGGCCAGCGCGCACGCGCAGGCACACGCACACGCATGCGCAGGCTGACGTAGCTCTCAGCTCCTTCCTTGACCATGACCCCTGGGCAGTAGGTCTGATGTTACTTCCAGGTACTTGGCGAAATCCCTTCCTAGAGTTCATTTAATTAACAGGCTGAAATCAAATAAAGCAAAATAAAGGCCTCGGGTATAACTAATAGATTCTTACCTTGGCCAATTCTTTCAGCTTTCATTTTACATACAATCCTTCTTTGGGCTATAATTAAATATGGATAAAACAAAACATTTTCTAAACAACTTTTGTCTCTGTATACAATACTGTATCAGCCATTCCATCAAAGTTAGGGTAACTCCTTGCACTCATCTCCAGGATTTACCGTAGCAATTTTACAGGCGGAGTATGCAAGCGAATCCACTCCACTACCAGTCACCTACACCTTCCGCAAAAGGACGGTAAGAAGCCAGCACGGCAGTGCACACCTACAGCGCCAGTTACTCAGGAGGATGAAGCAGGAAGCTGGCTTAAGGGAGGTTTGAGACCTGCAACACAACCCCACCTCAAAAAATTAAACATTAGAAAGACTCGCAAGAATGGTCTGAAACTATCATTCATCCCTCCTTTTCTCTGATCTTTGAGGGACAAGAAGTAAAGATTATAATAAGCGGAGCACTAGAGGCTGAATCGAAGAGGCCAGCTGGCAGCATCGCCTCCTGACAGAGGAGATGACCGAGCCTGGAAAGGGCACCGCTGCTGGGCTCCTGCTTCACCCATCCCGGAGAGGAGGCTCTGTGGAACTCAGACTTCTTCCCTTTCACTACAAAGGCCTTAAGAGCCAGCGGTGCTCTCAACAGACAACTGGTTCTTGCTGGATCTGGAAGATTATTAGAAAGAAAAAATGTCTTCCTATTAACTATTCTTCAAATACAGTCTATCTCTACAAGGGCTGTTCTAATTATAATCACTTTATCAAAAACACTGTCATTTATTTTCTTTACTTTTAGGGAAATATTTCCTTTCCGTTGTTTCTCACCAGAAAGCCAGAAAGGTCATGGTCTCTGGGAGTGCGCCTAGGGCCTTTCTTGGCCTATAGGAGGTGCACACACGTCTGCCTTGACGGTGTCCGCGGACCGAGTCATGTTGCAGACTCCACGACGAGCAGGTAGGCCCCTGGCCGAGCACCTACTCTGGCACAAAAAGGCAGCGGAGGGGACTGTGATGCAGGCTGCAGGCTTCCCTGTCAGGTCTTGTCTGTGTGTGGCGCTGTGTCCACCTAGGGAAGCATGATCATAACCAGCAGCAACAGTGATGGCCACGCACACTGCGCTTGCCAAGGGCCAGGCCCTGTCTTCCTTCCTTTCCTTTAGCTGAGCCACAATACCAGACACTGCAACTTAAAGAAGGAAAGGTTTATTTTGATTCTTAATTTATAGAGTAAAACCCCCAAACTCAGAAATGGGACTGACACTGCCACGCTCACTGCAGAGCCTCCTCTAACTACCCCAGGAAGATAGGGAACGGCCTTACTTGGACCACACTGTACCCCTCAGGTATAGCGCTGCTCAGGCCTCCTCGAGTCTGCAGTTCCTAAGCAGGAAAAGAAAACCAGCAGCAGAGCTCAGCTTCCAAACATTCCCAGATGCTCCTGGGTGGCTTCCCAAGAGGCGTTGGTGCTTACTACAAGTAGCACACAGCTTGGGTGGTGCTGAGACATCAGCCCACGACACAGCGCACCTACACGGCTGCCCTGGCTGTTCCCACAATCCCAGCTCGAAGTGCACTGGCTCCAGTCCCTGGAGAAGTAGCCCCATGCCAGCCTCACATTAACAGCAAGGCCCTTCTGGGCAGGGGATCCAGCCACAGTGCATCCTCACAGGGTGCAGGGGCACAGGGACCTGACTTGGGGTACAGACAGTGGTGCCCCTAGACTCAGAGTCCACTCAGGTACCTTATGGAGTACAGGCTCCGGCCCTATCCATGCAGATCTGCAATGCTGCCCAAACCCAGTGGCAAGCCTGCACGCCTGCCCAGAAGTCACCCTACGATCCCGTCAGATCAGGGTGACTGCAGGCCCAGCCAGCAGCCCACCTGAACTCAGAGCTCAGGCAGCAGCCAGCTGACCAGTGATGCTCACAGCAGTCCCTGCCTGTCAGGGTCCCAGCAGCATGCCCAGCACAGTCATAGGCCAAACACCACAGCTCTGGCTGTGCAAAGAGAAGCAAGGACAGAGAGGAGAGGCAACTATCTCCTCAGATACACAGACGTGGGGACTACAGGTCAGAGTCTGACACCACCAGGAGAAACTGATACAGCTCCAACAAAAGATACTCTTGGCACACGGTTCACAGCAATCATCCTACAAGAATATACAGATTTTTTTAAAAATGGAATTTGGGAACAAAAGAAGAAAATTGACAAACAGAAACAAGAATACTAAATCTTAAAGAATACAGTGAACTGAAAATTTTAAGAGAAAGTTTCAATAGCAAATTTGATCAAGCATGTATCAGTGAATGTGAAGACTGAATTTCCCTTGACCCCCTGTGGTCCTTCAACTGAGCCACATCCCTGGATTTTTAAAAAAGTTTTATATTTTGAGACAGTGTCTCACTAAGTTGCCCTGTCTGGGCTTGAACTTGAGAACCTCCTGCCTCAGCCTCTAAGAGGGTTGGGAGTAGAGGCATACACAACCATACCCAGCCAAAAATATTTTAAATTATCCAATTAGACGAGCAAAAAAGGAAAAAGAATGAAAAAAGCCTATGGGAATTATTGGAAACCAACAAAAGAACTAAGAATTTTTAAAAACACATTTGAAGAAATGGTGGCTGACAATTTCCCAAACCTGGGGAATGATGCCAATAATATGCAGGTACAGAAAGCAAAGAGGTTTCCAAGCCCAAAGAGAAGGTCATCAAACACATGACAATCAAACTAAACTCTAAGAGAGTTTTGGAGCAACCAGAGGTAGGAAATGCACCACACACAAGCAAACCAGGAGGGCTGCCAGCGGAAGTGCTTTTCATGCTAATAAACTCTTCCCCTCCTTCTGAGAGTGAGAATTAGACAGATGATCCTGTTTCTCTTTGATTTTTATCACAGGAACTCTAAAGCGACATTTGAAACTTAGCAATTAAATTAGTTTTATGGCTTATGTTAGTTTTCCTGGTATGTGTGGTTTTACTTTCCTTCAGTATATGCTTACTGTAAACCGCATGTGATACAAAGGAAGACAGGGCAAAAAGGGAAGGAGGACAAGAAGTGGGGCAGAGAGAGAGTGAGGGGCTGGAGGGACACGGCGCGGCGCCCGGGTGCAGCCTGCGATGCCTGTGCCGCAGGCCTGGTGGAAAAGGTCCCATGTAACCTGGGGTCTTTCTGGCAGTCACCGTCCCCACAGAGCTCTTAGTCACAAAAGCTGTTTTTCTGACAAGATCAAGTCTTCCACAGCAGCCACCAGCAGAACTGCCAAAAAGCCACAGAGGGCAGAACTGGCCTTGATCCTGTTCCGCACCCCTGACATAACCACCCGCAGACACCAAGCGCAGACGTTTTACTTCTGCTGCTTGTTTCAAGAGGTGAAACAACACAGCTTGAGTCCTCCCTTCTCCTGATTCCAGGTGAGACTGGGAACACGAGCAAGTTAAACAGGTAAATCTCCCTCTGAAGTGCTTCATGAAACAAAATTAATTAAGGTGTTATAAAAAGCAGTTATTCCAAATGTCACAGTGGCATTCTTAGAGACCACTGTTCTAAATATAGCAGCGCTTTCAAGGTTACACTTTTCAAGGTGCTGTTAATTAGTGGAGGACTGGGTCCGAGAGGAGTGAGCACACTTTCCAGACAGGAGACTCACACTGCCGTCACTGAGGGCTATGCTGCTGTCAGCTGGCTAAGGCCGTCACGGAGTGATGTCCGACCAAAGTCCTGCTGCTCCTGTGTCCACCTCGATGTGCCGCCTGCCAGCGCAGACAGCCCTCCTTCCGCTTCGGGAGGGCGGGAGTCTGCACTGAGCTCCAGGCCAGCCCACGACGAGAGGCTGCGGGTGGAAACTTGACCGCTGTCGGGGACAGGCCTTGGCGCCCTTGAGAGAAGAGTAAGTGCTGGAGGCCTGCAACAGGTGAGGGCCCCAGGAGGCTTGGTAGGGGATCGGGCGTGTGGCCTGGGGACAAGAAACCATGCGAGCCCCAAGAGAGAATGTCACAGAGACGATGTGTCACAAGGCTCAGTGTGGAAAGGGCAGAATGGGTCCTTTCTCAGGGTCTCGCTGGAGGATCCAACAGAGCAGGTGGGAGGGCAGTGGACACCCACGGGCAATGCTGGTGTCTGCTCCCTTGAGTGCTCCCGGAGCCCTGTCTGAGAGCCCGCATGACACAGGCATGGAGGCAAGGTGAACATGTGCGCAGGCTGTTGCCATCAGACTCCCTTTCCTGATCTCTCGCTGGATGACACATGAACGTTCAGAAACAAACAGGAACAGGAATGACAGGGAGGGCAGTGGTCAAGAGACGGCGGCACAGGCCGGGCAAGTGGGCCACTACGGGCTCTGAGTAGCAAGCGCCTCACTCAGGCCCGCGCAGCCAGCGCGTGCTGTGGGGGCTACAGGAGGCAGCGTCAGCAAGAGCCTGGGCACAGGCCTGGCGCGAGTCAGAAGGATGTTTGAAACAACACGACAGTAACGCGCCGATTACTGAGCCCTCTGCATTTACCTGGGCGCTCCCAGCATTGTCAAAGCACCGGCAGGCACCAAGGCACGCCAAACTCGAAGGCGGCACCGTGAAACCCGGGGCTTAAAACTAGGAATCCTGGACTCTCTTGGAAGCATTTCGGAGAATGCAGTCAGCGGCCCAGATCACAAGCAGAAAGTCAGGACAGAACGCATCTGGGCTCTTCACCTCAGAAGCGCTACAAGAGGAAAGATGGCTTCCTTCAGGGCTGCAGAAACTCAGGCAGGGAAGCGTGGTCTCCCAGCAGCATCAGGATCATCCAGGAACGGAGGGCCTGGAGAGCCCCTGCCACTCCCACGGTGAAAAGCAGCTGCTCTCAGTTACCGACGGCTCCCTCCTTCCATCACCCTCAGGCTGCGAGGCCCATGGGACACAGCCCCATCTCCTGACAGCTTTCACTGCGCCCTCATTAAACCCCGATGCCAGGGAGCTGCCAGCCAGCCGGGCTGCGGACAACATCAGGGACAAACTGTCCCTCTGCAATGAGGGTGGCGGGCCTGCCTGATGGCCAGATCTGTGTCCCTGAGCTGGTGAAGGGCACGTCGTCCCTTTTGTGTCCTCAGCGTCACACAGATCCGCACTGACAGTGTCAAAGGTTGGCCCTTCCAGGCCTGTGGCCAGAGAAAGCGGGGGTAACAGCCTTACAAACAGGGCTCAGGCGCTAATGCCGTGCTGCGGAGGGACAGCAGCATGGGGACTTGGCAGCTCTGACATGGAGTCTCCTGGGACATACAGCCACCCGGGGGCAAATCACCAATGTCAGCCACTCTCTGAGGAAGCATCTGTCCTGGGTTAGAAGAGCGTCTTGCTGCTGGAGGAGCTCTAACGCAGGCAGGAAAATGGAAATGTATGCAAGAAGCTTGCAGCTTAATTAGACAGTCCACTGATATCACCATCAGGAAGAGCACCCTGAGGCAGACAGCTGCGGGTGGGGGTGGGCGCCTGCCAGGGCTGCCTGTGTGTGCCTGTGTGTGCACCTGTAGGCGGAGGGAGTTGCGGGGGGCGGTCCCCAGACCTTTGCCTGGCGCACCGCCTCCCTTGCCTGCACGGGCCCCATGTGCCTGCTGCCTCCCCGGCGGCCACAGCCCCTAACAGACACAGCCCCTTGGTGGCTGGTGGTGTGGGGTTCATGCTGCTGGCCGGTCTCTCCCACTTATAAGTAATGTTTTAGTATATTTTATATTATTCCTTTCTGCCTTTGTTACTTCTGAATGGGAAAAACTGCAAGAGGAATTTTAAAATAAAATTTCCTAACTTTTCTGACTACAAAAATAACTCCAAGCAAGAAATTTGAACAATATAAAAAACTCTGAAAAGAACTCATTGATGACAAACCTACTCTCCAAAGATATTCTAATGTTTACCCTTTCTGGCTTTTCTTCTCTCCACAAACACATACTATTATTTAAGATACCATACGTCCTGCTTACTAGCCTTCATTTTTTTTTCATTTAGTGATGCATTAGGAGTACTCTTCATATTAATGGATATTAACTACCAGTATAATTAGTAATGGCTACATATATTTGACCTTATGAATACTTTATATTTAGCCAATCCCCTACTGTCTGCCATTCAGCTGGTTTCCAGTGTGATTTGGAACCGGAAGGGGGACCAGTGAATGAGAGCCAAGTCTAACACGTACATGGTCCCTGGGTAACACCTATCCCATCCCGGATCACAGCAGAAGTAGAAGGAAGAAGCATGCGTGTTCACTGTAACTGTCTCGGACCAATTCTGTAAGACATGTATCTCAAATGTATTTTTGCAGGGAGGCAAAATAAGAGGACCTAGGTTACCAGACTGAAGAGTGTTCTGTGCTGGTTTCCTCATAAGGCATCTGGGAGGAGCTTCCACATGGATACAGTGTTCCCAGGTCACTTCCCTCACATGACAGCCCAGAGTGGTGGGCAGAGCTAGTTTCTCCAAAGCCACAGCTTGAACAGAGGCAGTACCTTGGGTTCACAATCCCCCTCTTCTCAAGCAGTGGGGCCGAACCCCTCACTGCACAATGGGACTTGGTATGAACACCCTAACACACTATGCTTTCACTCTGGTTCTTGATCCAGTTGATAAAATAGTTGTCCTAGCTGCATCAAATCTGAGAAAGTGCTAGAATCAATTCAGTGAGTTCCTGTAGGTCCAGTGGATGTGTAGGAATATTCTGCTATTTAAAAATTTGTTGGAATTTCTCAATTAATTCACATCATGGAGATACCACCAGGGTAGGATACACTTTTGGTGGGGAAGGCCATAGGAGCCAGGGAATTATCCACAGGGATGCTCATGGGGACCAGAACACTCGGGGGGAAAGTGCAAGTATCTTCACAGTGCTAGAAAAGAAGACTGCTCCTGTCCGCAGAGCTACCATATACGGTTCAAGAATTCAGGGCCCTATGAAAAAGTTGGACTCTAAATGCAAACCATTAATGGTGATGAAACTAATTTAGTGGGTTAAAATAACCCAATGAAATGGAAGTGTCAGATTATTTCGTGAAGTAAAGGTAATGACTGTTTCATGCAACACACATGTGAGTGTTCGTGTAAGTGTAATAGGTTTGAGCTGTCTGTGGGCTTTTATGCAGGGATACCTCAGCTCATGAACACTTTTGTTTGCCAACAATTTGGTGCATAAACACAAGCATTTGGCAAAATTTTGTTTCTGTTTGGAAACTCTGTCTACAGCCATACCACTCTGAACGTGCCCGATCTCGTCTGTTTGGCGACTCTGCAACTCTGCATCATGACCCGTGGCCATCTTTCCCAAAATCATAGAACAAAGTGAGTTCATGAGCTGAGGTACCACTGTATAGCCAAATTATAATAAAAAATCTCTTACCATGACTCTTGGTCAAAAGGTTGAAACCCATCTGGATACCTCCATAACGTGACAACTTTAAGAGCAGTTAGGAAAGGACATCCTGCCCCAGCAAACAGGAACAGTAGCACTATTTCAATACACACATTCAATAAACAACTAAACATGGGACTATCAAAAAATAATGGCATACTCAATTTAGCAAATGCCAAATCAACAGCTTTCCTCATACATTCTTCAGTAACTAGTTGATTAACACCCTCCAATATGTTAACTAACTCAGCCAGGGCAATATTTTACTACCTAGCTGTTATTGCCAGGTTCCTATCTTTCTCAAAGTAAAAGACTACATAGGAGTTTTATTAAGGTTATTTTTGTGGTACAGATGACCAATGGATTTGTAATTTCACAAACTTTCAACTCACACACATTTGTAGTGCAGAACTCTATGGCTTCAACACAGTATCTAAATCCCTTTTAAAAGATCTGATCTAAAGACCATATCTGAAAATACCTGTGATCTCATTTTAAATATTCCTAAAACACCTTGGTACAGCTGGTGGCTGGTTAATCCTGATTGCCAACTTGACCGTATTAAGAGACGCCTGGAGAGGCTATTGGGTTGGCAGGGCACCAACGTCCCTGATAGGCTAGTGCATGACGAGCTCATGACTGAATGGGCAATCAGGAAATGGGCCCAGGTGAAGAAAGTGGGTCGCAGAGTCTGACCTTGCGGGGGCGGGCTGTATCTGGTCCCTGGTCCCTCCCTCCCTAGCTCTTTCCCTGCTTTCTGGTTCCCAGATGCCGTGAGCTGAACAGCTCTGCTCTGCCGTCATCGTCTCGCAGCACGATGTTTCTGCCTGGGCGCCCGCTGACCACGGGCTGAAACTGGGAGCCACAACAAACCTCTCCTCTTTCACTGTGCGCATTAGGCATCTTGTCCCAGCAATGGGAAAGCTGACCAACACACATGGGAAGTAATTTTTCCTTTGGGAAAAAAAGAAAATGCAGGCTCTTGGTCCCACCCGGACCACAGCAGAAGTAGAAGGAAGCACGCATGCTCGCTGTAACTGTCTCAGACCAATTTTGGAGGATATATATTTCAAATATATTTTTCAGAGGCTCTTATGTAACAACAAAAAAGTAGCTCTATGTCAGTTACAAATGGGTAAGGTAAAGCACTTGGCACCCCTCTGAATCAGCAATACTGGATTCTTGTATTTCTTATACTATACCTGAATTTTCTATCCTAACAGCTTGATGACATAAGAGAGCAAAGTGATCATTTAAAGGACACGCTACCTTGTGGTTATTTTCGTCTGCAGTACTGAGCTGGTTTTTAGGAAGTTGCACGCTTGGACCTTTATAGAAATACACTGAGTGGTCACCATCAGTTATGATGTCAGTTTGTGTCCTGGCTTCCCATGTGGCACTCTGCCCACAAAACTGCTCTAAGTATCAATTATAGCGATCCCCTCAGCCTCCTTTTTGAGTGTGAATATTTTCGATGCGGGCCCTGATGTGAAGAACTTCGAGAAGCTCTGACTGACTGAATAAACAGCCATATGAACAACATCTTATCTTCTCAGACCTTCTGTTGAAGATGCCAGTCATTAAGCTGTTCAGTGTTCCCTTAAATGTGAACTGATAAAAGCTTGAACTGATACAGTACGGAACAGGACTTTTTTCTGCTCTCCTGGTACATTCTTAGCACACAAATATGAATTAATTCAGTTTTGCTTTTTGAATTAGGTTCCCTAAAGTTCAGTCCCAAGTTTGGTGCTCAACTGCATTAACCAACATAGCCAGCACATTTACAGTCACTCCTGCAACCCATCAGAATACTTCACACAAAAGTTCTGTTATATCCTTGTCATGGACTATAACCTATGATCTTTTTAGAAACCAACTAGATTTAAAAGAACAAATGAAAATTTCAGAAAACAATGCCTATATTATTATGAATTACCCGGTATTACTACTTAATACATTCGTGTAACAAAGGGAAAGAAAAAAAGAAAAAAATTCCCCCTACCAGGAAGAGAATAAACCTTACCAGCTCATTCTTACGAACTTTAACTCAAAAAAGTAATATATACACACTGATTTACTAGTCAATGCATATGATTCTATATAGGCTTCTGATGTGAGTAACATTTAAAACGATGTATATCAAACTGCCATTGTCATGGCTAAAAAATGATTGAATGCTGATAATTTTATGCAGTTCAACCTGAAGAAAAGAAAAAGACTTGCTAATATGATATGAATATATTAAGAATTAGGTCTTACCTGAATGACCTCAGCATTCGGTAAGACTTTCCTAAATCAGATACTCGTCTGCAAAATGGACCCACAGCCAACTCCATCTGAAAGATTAAAAGATACTTCATAGCTTTCATGTCACAAACCCAAGGTGGATTTGGCACACACCTGTCACAGAAAGTTGTAGCTTGTAATAAACTTAGGTTACCTAGGCAGTGAGCAAAGTTATGAAAGCCAGTTAAAAGAAAGTAGATAATTTTTACATTTATTTACTAAAGGAACCCAAGATGAGAAAACTCCTTCATGAAAGCAGAAAAACAAACTGACTGTGTGGTGGCACATGCCTGTCATCCCAGCACTCTGGGAGGCTGAGGCAGGAGAATTACATGTTCAAACCCAGGCCTAGGCAACTCAGAAAGGCCCTAAGTCACAAAATAAAACAAGGGCTGGGGAGATAGCTTGATGGCAGAACATCTCCAGTACTATAAAAACAAATCAGAATATTTTTTGTTACATAAAAGGAGGAACTATAGTTTGTTTCTCCATTGAAATATTAGGCAAAGTTTTCATGACTGTGCCTCTACTCTAAGTAGGTATCTCAAGTCTTTTGACAGCGAATGTAAATGGTGCAAATTTTTATTGTCAGAATGGCCCTAGTACCAGCTCTCTCACCCTTTCTGTAGTACATCTGTGTCTGAATGACAACACTGCAGTTACTGGTAGAGTGGCCCTGCAAGTCACCCAGCTTCTTTCAGGCTCAGCTCCCACATCCGTAACATGAAGATAATAAATCTGCCTAATACAATTATGCAAACTAAATAGATGAATTCCACAAAGCTCTCGTGCATGGCACTTAAGTGCTCATTAAATGTCAGCAATTATCAGTATTTAGAACTTTTTCTTTTAGGTTATTAGTAAGTTAATCTGCTCCCTGACACAAGAATTTAGCACACTTTTTCTTCACTTCTCCTTATTTTCCCCGGAATAGTCTGTTTGTCATTAATTGGGCTACGTGTTCTTTACCTATGAAGTGCACTCAGATGATAAACTGTTTCTCCACTCTTGCTATTAACTATGCACTGTGGTAGAAGACAGTTTAGAAGAAGGCTGAGAATAGGCTGCTCTCTGGGAGTGCAGCATCTTTCTTCAAGCAAAACACAGGAAAGGAAGCGAGCTTTCGGTCCTGCTGGCAGCCCCATGAAAGGCTGCTCAAAGTCTCCTCGCCACTGGTAGACCACAGAGCCCTAATCAGACATTCATTTAGAAGCACGTTTGACTAGCTATTAATTGCCAGGTACCAAGTCACACATGGGGACAAAATGATGAATTCAGCTGTCTTGCCTTCAAAGAAATCTTAAATTTAGTAAAGAACAGAATATTCATTTATTCAGACAATATGATTATTCAACAAAATTGCAAGAAAGGTTATTTGCATATATAAATATACATTCACATTTTTATGATTCTAAAAACATTGCTTGAATAAATGTATGTTACACACATATAAGTAAATAGTGGTCATTATTAGGCAAATGATAAGTGTCAAGGAGAATCGGAGAGTGGCTTCCTTGAAATGTCCTGAAAATATGGAGTGGACAGGTTAATACTTCTCTCACAGGATAAGACAGAGTGTACACTGTGTATCCAAGAGGGAAGTTTTATATAGGTGGAAAACCCTAAAATACAGAAGAGTAAGGGAAAAAAACAGAAAAATCTAAGGAGAAAAAAGACAGGATTCTTACCAACAACACAAAGCAACAGCTGTGAGCCACCTTTCTCAAACTCAAAAAACAGAGTGAGGGGCTGTTCCAGGGACCTGCTTAGTTTATTCACTTTGTGGGTGCTTCTGATTTCCTTTATATGTATCATTTACTTTACACTGACTACAAAGATGTGACCATCACCTATCTTTGATTTGGTAATGCCTTTCATATACCTAGCTGTATACATGAAGGTTTTTAAACACTATTTCTGAAATTTTTGGGTCAAAAATTTTTTTTAAATTAACCTACTGGGATCACTGTCTTCAAAGATCAAACCAAATCATGTGCTGGCCCTGAGCAGGTTAAAACACTTAAATAGCTGGGGAAAGGTTACTGTGTGACAGAATATGACCACAGAAAGCTGAGAAACCTATGATGATGCAACAGACTGTTATGGCGTAGGACAATTTCAAAGTGTTCAATGTTTTAAAGTAAAATTTTCATCCATAAGGTATGGGTCGGGTTGTGGAAATCATTTTCTTCTGCCAGAATTCCATCAAACGATAAAGGCCATGTTTTAAAGAGCAGGAGTGTTCCTTTTGGAGGAAGTGACACTGCAATTAGCTGTAGGTTCAGAAACGGCCTGTGTAACCACAGGGCATCTCTCCAGCCCTCCTGTGTGGAGGAAGGGTGAGTGGAAGGTTGCAGGCAAGTGGGCTGATTACTAGCTGTTCCTCACCTACCGCAGACATTCAGTAACCACGGGGCATCTCTGGATACTCCCAGAGCACTCCTGCCCTGACACTGCTCAGAAGAGGCGGCAAGAGGAATTAGAAGAGACACTAGAATTCTGAATAGCTTGTTTTCTAAATGGATACTTCTGGAGTAAAGTGGAAGTGATATAAATGTATACTTAAGGGACACTAGAAGACTTATACATGCAAAGTGCTAGAAGTGCCACTAAGCAATTTAATGTCAACTTCACTAGCCATCCTCTCCCTCAAGGAGGGAAGAAACTGTGGGTGGAGGGGGAGCGGGCTCCAGAGGGCACCTCAGGCAAATCTACGGAGAGATTCGGACTCAGCGGACAGAGCCCCAGGGGCCTTGGACAAGCGCGGTGCTGTCAGAACTGCTGCGTGATGAGTGTAGACGTGGAGACCATGTGGTGACAGTGGGGAGTTAATTACCTGGAGGAAGCCACCTTGCGCCTGTGACCTGGATTCCTCAGGGGCGGGTGTCAGAACTGCCCTCACCATGGCCCTCCAGATGGCACCCTGCAACTACTTTCTCTGTCTGCACTGTGGCTAGGGAGGAGCAGTTAGGATTCTTTTTAAAAAAACTCTTAAAATATATCATAATCTCTCTATGCAATTAGATTTCATGCCAGACCTACCTGACTGGGCCCTTCTTAAGCTTTGTCATTCTGCGATTTATACCAGAATAGCTGGCACTTCATCACAAGAACCCTTGCAAACCCACAGAGCATTTGTGTGCTCTTGGTCCCAGTGATCTCAGTGGCTTTGTTTCATTCTGAATACAAATTGATAGAACTTTCAATAACGAGGGAGTTAAAAGGTTTTCTAGCTCACAGTTGGTGCTTGTCATGAATATAAATGTCAGAGTAAAGCTACTTATTAAGTGTTTTGACTAACCCTGGAAAAACACTTCCAACCAAGCACAATTCTGAAGGCTGAGGTACAATGACACAGAACTGTAGCTGTGGGCAAGAAACAAACCCAATGAAATACAAACTCCACATTCAAAATTTAATTTTTTTTGGCAGTACTGAGGATGGAATCCAGTGGCACTCCATCATGGAGCTATAGCCTCAGCCTTTTTTCTCTTATCTCGAGACAAGGCTATGCTACGTTTCCCAGGTGATCCTCAAACTTACAATCTTCCTGTCTCATCCTCCTGAATAGCTGAGATTACAGGTGTGTCCCATTATGCCCGGCTCAAAACTGAATTTTAAAAATGGGGGCAGGGAACTTGCCATCACTGCTGGACCATACTGCCAAAGCCTGGTTACAAATGTTAACTACCATGTGCGTCCATCTGTCTCTCCTGTGCCTGTTACCCACAGGGCCAGAGCCACACCCAGGCGAGTGGTGTGACGCTCTGAAATCGGGACTCAGTGCGCAGGCGTGGACCAGGCATCTGCTTCTCCGTTACTACAGACTCCAGCCAGTAAACGCCTCTGTGGTGCCGGAAAGTACATTCTTTTAATACTAGGCAAATGCTGTGTGTACAAATGCCTTTTCTACATTAAGAAAAAAAGCAGAGGCCTTCAACCGACCTGAAGTCAGGAATTATCACTGACAAGTTTCATCTATGTTAAGGGAAGGAATTCAGGAAGATTTGGTAAAAATAATTGGTAATAAAATTATCAATAAGGGTAATTTGTCTTAAGAATAAGGAATGCAAATCAAATTCTGATACTGCAGCTTGGGAAGGCAGACGCTCGCCCTGCCACTGAAGCCAGACCCTCTGAGTGGTGCAGGCAAGGGCTAAAGGACAGTGCCTCCCATCTCTCAAGACTCACAGGCAACATATCATTTAAATGAAGCCTCCACGCGCCAAGCCCGGCAGCTTGGCCATCTCCTGCCTGGCCGCCACTCTGATTGGATGTGAAGTGCTGCCTCCAGGAAGGTGACTCAAGAACCAGCTGGAGCAGAACAAAAACAAGCTGGGGAGGGGTGGACGGGGACAGGAACAGCACGGAGGAGGAAGGGGAGAAGAGCAGAGGCTAGGCTGAGTAAGGCTTACAGTGTTGTCAACAATTAGGAACAGGTCCTAGGACATCACTGCGTGTTCATTTTAATAAGCAGCCTGTAATCCAGTAAGAGAGAAGACACTGTTTATATGTAACTCTCTTTAGGCAAAATGTACACGTGCCTAAAAAAAAAGGTGACAAAAATAGGTAAGAAAAAAGACCACCATATTAATGGGCACATTTAATTAATTTCTGTTTTCCTGTGTGGCTGTTAAAGGCGTATCTCCCAAAGGGAAGGCCCTTTTTTGTGTGTGGTCTAGTGGCCTCATGCATACCATCTGGAGCTGCAGACAAATAACTCCTAGGTCAATTAATAGGCAAAGAACCTGGCTCTTGAAACCTTTGGTTTGTTAACTGGTTTCCTTCTTCTAAGAACATCAGGCCCCAGGGAGCACCTGATCGCCATCACCCAGGCAGGAGCTGTCACTGCAGGTCCTTACCTCTGGGCAGGAACGACGAACCAAGACACCCAGATATACTCAGGAACAAATACTGACATTAACATCTATCTTTATAAGCAGGGAGAGTCTGGCAAACTACTACAGAGACTCCATTTGAATAACTACTTAGTCTAGTAAAACTAACAAGTTTGAAAGACTTAAAAATTGATTTCATCCTTGACATACTCTATAATAAGAATCATCTTCGTTTCTGAATTCTTTCATGAAAGTGGGTATTTGGGGTGTTTCTTCTTTGCCTCTGATATTACTGAAAGGTTTTAAAAATCTGTTCTAAAATAAAAATTTAAAAAGCCTTTCTATACGAGCTGATTATAGTTCTGCTATTTTAATTTCATTCTCTCTCCGAAATGAGAGAGAGCTTGGAATGATTTCACAGCAGGCCACAGACAAACATCTCTACTTATAGGAGGGGGCCAAATAATCCGAATCTGTATTTAGCTGGTCCCCTGTACATCTCAGTGAATTAGAACACACGCTTGGAACGCTGAGCTGGACACTGTGGGATTACAGACTCTCTGGCGTTCTTTCTCTTTACATGAGAACAGGTAGCCCCTTTGCACTGTTTCAAAGGTGACTTTATTGCCTATGTCATCGTCTAGCAAGGTCACTCAGTCAGTCTTATCAACAATGACCTAGTAGGATGGTAAAATAGCTGAGAAAGGCCCCTTCTGTGTAAAACAGGAAAAGTTTATTTATTGCACAATGAGCTACTTTACCTTATCCTTGAAAGATCAGAGATGAAGGATGATTATTTTGTTGAACACAACGAATAAAATATCTCTTATAAAAATATCTTTAAGGGACAAGGAAATAGTTCAGCAGCACAGTGCCTGCCTAGAAAGCACAAGGTCCTAAGTTTGATTCCCAATACCAAAAAAAAAAAAAACAAACTTTAATCTGAATGTGATGGTGTATGTCTGTAATTCCCGATCTCAAGTTTGAGCCCAGCCTGGGGAACATAGCAGGACCCTGTTTCAAAATTTTAAAAAGTCTGGGGATGTAGCTCAGTGCAAAGGCCTTGAGTTCAATCCAAGTACAGCATCAATAAAACAAAACCAAACCCTTTAAATTCTACTCTTCATTCATTCATCCATTCATTTGCTCACTCATTTATTAGGGTGCTAGGAATCAAAATTTTTCCTTCTTTTTAAAAATTTAACAAAATAGTTTTAAGTGGGTTTACTGTATGTTATAGCTCTTTTAAAAAGCCCGATGAATAGACACCCTTTTGCTGAGACTGAAGCATTTGCTCACTTTGCAGGTATGCACCCACTTACCTGTGCAAAATCAGCAGCAAGTCGCATTTTCCCACCTTCACCAAGAGGCCTTATAAGACTGGCATTGCGGATAAAAAGTTCAATTGCTCTTTGGGCAATAGCTTCGGTGTTGTCAAAGACAAAATCCGAGCATTCAAACTGTTTAAAGTAGTCATTCATAACTCTGGCAATGAAACCTTGGAGCTCCTTCATGTACAGAGAACAAGGAGTATCGGGCTTTCCTGAGCTGGATAATGACCTGTTAAATTTAAAAAGAAGACAACAGCCACTTTCAGCACCAGTAGAATAAACCACATGGATCCCCCCCGCCCCCAGCTATTTCAATCCTTCCCAATTTTTCCCCTCTGTGGTATAAAAGGCAGCATTTATTTTTTTCTAAGTGTTAAAGAGCATAAAATAATGTTTCATCATATCCTAAAGAGTGTGCTTAGGTATGAGGAGGATTACTGGAGGAATTTTAGAATCCATTTACCAAAAAGATTATTAAGAATGAAACAGACAGCCATCTGTCTTGGATGAATCATGTAAGGGCCAGCTTCACTCTCTGGCCTCTCAATGTGTCCTTCTCCCCCCAACAACCCGCCTCACAGCTCTCTGTGCACTCCCAGGTTTTGCCTGGGAAGCCAGTGCCTTCATAATGGAACCGGAAATAGGATTTTACACTTTGAAATGGCAAAAAATGCTGCCCTCTCCAAACAAATTCTTGGCGACAATATCTCTCTTCTTGTGCTATTTAATCAGATCAGGCCAACAGCAGAATTCTGACTGTGGAACTGGTTATGCAACAGGACACGTGGTTTGCTTTTTCTCCTCCAGATGATGAGCTCTGGAAAGGCTTTAATTTGGATCAACAGATGATGCCAGCTGATGCTCCATGATGTACTATTTATAACCTATAAATGTTTACAATTGCCCTTTAAAGACTATATTAAAAGAATATGAAATATTTATAGGGAAGAAGAGTTAACCCAAATTAGAAACCACCTGATACTGGCTAACAGATGAGATCATTGGCTCCATAATACTGAATCTTTTCCAAAAACCAACTTAAGTGTTTCCATATTCTGAGAATGACGCAGACCAACTGGGGAGGGTCTAGTGATGAACAACAGATACGACTAAAATTCCTAGAGCAAGAGAATGAAGTGGACTTGATGACCATCAAATGCAACAATGGTTATCACAGATGAATGTCAGCCAGAGGTCCTTATTTCCAGAGCAGACAGAAATGGAGAAGCAAGGCTTTTGTCTCAGTGGGAAGGGATACTGTCTTAATACTGGGAAGGTCACTGGGAGGCACGTGGTGGGACATTCCAATGTGTGGTATCACCACAGGATGAAGCACGTTTGAGCAGAGGGGAGCCTTGGCCAGGTTGGGTGGAACTGGCTTGGCCAGATTCAGAGCACTGCATGGTCTCCCTTTATGAAGGTTTTATCAGTACAAAGGCTACATGCCAAAAGTAAATAAATAAATAAAAGTGTTAACAGTCTCTTTCATCTCTTTTTTACTAAATTTGACAAGTTACAGTAAGTATAGTACATAGTGATGTTATACGTATATGATGTGGAATAAAACATTGCCACCTTAAACATGTACTTCCTCCTGTCTAACAACAGCTTTGTACCTTCTGACTAATATCACTCCATTATACCCTACCCTAAGCCCTGGTCATCAGCATTCTATTGTTCGCTTTTTGTTCCACTGTTTTAGATTCCAGAGTATAAGTGACAACACTGTTTTCTACATCTGGCTTATTTCACTTAGTATAATGTCCTCCAGGTTCATCCATGTTGTAGCAACTGACAGAAATTCCTTCTTTTTGAAGTCTGAATAGTGTTCCGCTGCATACCTACACATTTCCTTTATTGGCTGGCAGACACTTGGTTGATTTCCTAACTTGGTTATTGCAAAACTGCTGCAGTGAATATGGCAGTGCAGACATCTCTCTGACTTACGGACTTCCAAGTCTGTAGAATACAGACTCGGGAGTTGGGACCGCTGTATCATATAATTCTGAGTTTAAGTTTTTGAAGAACTGCCATATAGCTGTTCATAATGGCTGGACAAAGGTACCTTCCCATGAACAGTACACAAGGGCTCTTTTCTCTACATCCTTATCAACATTAGTGATCTTCCTTCCTTTTAATAATAGGTTTTCTGACATGTGTTAGTTCATATCTCCTTGTGGTTTTAATTCATATTTTTTTGAGTTCCTTATAGATTTTGGATGTTAATTCCTCAGGATTAAATTAGAAAAATCACAGCCCAGACCAATGTCATATTATAACTTTTCCCTAATGTTTTCTTCTAGTATTTTTTATAGCTCCAAGTGTTACATTTAAGTCTTAAGTCCATTTTGAGTCATATGCGGTGTGAGACAAGGATCCAGGTTCTTCTTCAGCATGTAGATACCCAGTCTTCTCAAAAGCCTTTATTGAAGAGACTATCCTTGTCTGTTATGTGTTCTTGGCACCTTGTACAATGCAAAAGATTTACACAATCTAAAAAGAAACAAAGATATTGGCACCTTTGTCAAAAATCAATTGACCTTAAATATCAATTGTCTATTCTGTCTCATTAGTTGATACGCTTATTCTTTTATGCCAGTATCATGCTGTCTCAATTACTAAGGCCCTGAAATATAGTTTGGAATTAGGAAGTATGATACTTCAGCTCTGTTCTTTTAATTTCTCTAGCTGAAGATTGGCATAGCTATTTAGGGCTTTTTGAGGTTCTAAATGAATTTTAAGATTTGTTTCTTATTTCTGGGAGAGCTGACTTTGGAATTCTGGTATGGATTACACTGACTCTGTACATCACTTTGGTAGCAGGGACATATTTTAGCAATATTAATCCATCCAGCACTCAAATACAGAATATCTTTTCATTTATTTCTGTCTTCTTCTACTTATTTCATCAGTGTAGTTTTTCACTGTTGTTAGTGTACAGTTTTTCAGTGTACAGCTTTCAATTCCTTTTTTTTTGATAGCACACTGTTAGTGTATAAAAATGCTACTGGTTTTGTATGCTGACATCGTATCCTGTGTCTTCACTATATTTATCAAGTCTAAAAAGTTTTTGCTTGGGGAGTACTAGGAGTCAAAACTAGGGCCTCTCACAGGCTAGGCAGGCACTCTACCACTGAGCCACATCCTTATCCCCTTTTAAAATTTTGAGACATGAGCCCATTAAAAAATTCCCCAGGCTGGCTTTGAACTTGCAATCCTCTTCCTTCAGCCTCCCAAGTAGGTAGCATTCCAACAACGCAGGAATTGGTCAAGATCTAATAAGTTTCTGATGGGACTCTTTAGGGATTATTGTATTTAAAATTGTGTCACCAATAAACATACATTCAGTACTTTCTTTCCTATTTGGAAGCCTTTTATTTCTTTCTTTTTCCTAACTGCTTCGGCAAAGAATTCTACTACTGTACTAATTAGAAGTGGTGAGGGTGGACATCTTGCTTTATTCCTGATCTTAAAACAGTTTTCAGATTTTCATCAGTGAGGACATTCTTAGCTGTGGGCTTGTCAAATATGGCCTTTACTGTTTTGAGGTGCATTCCTTCCACTGCTAATATGTTCAGAGGATTTTTTTAAATCATGAAAAGATGAGTTTTGTCAGATGTTTTTCTGTATGTAATGGGATGATCATTTCATTTATGTTCATTTATGTAATGTGTTACACTAATTGATTTACATATATGTTAACCACCCTTGCATCCCTGGGAAAAATCTCACTGGATCATGGTGAACGGTATTTTTAAAGTGTTGTAGAATTTGGTTTACTAATATTTTGAGGATTTTGCATCTATGTTCATCAGGATTACTGGACTCTTAATTTCTCTTCTTGTGATGTCCTTCTCTGGCTTAGGTATCAAGGTAATGGAAGCTTCATCAAAAGAGGAAGTATTCTCTGATTTTTTTAAAGAATTTGAGAAGGACTGCTATTAGATTTCCTTTTAAATGTTTGGTAGAAGCCATTAGTCTCTCCAGCTTTCTTTTTTTTTGGCTAGAGACTTTCATTACTGATTTCATTTTCTTACTCCTACTATTCTATTTCTTCCTGATTCAGTACTGAGAAGGCTATATGTGTTCAGGACTTTGCACACAATTTTCTATCACAGCTGCACTAATTTATATTCCAACACTATAGGTGGGGTCCTTTTTCTATACATCCTAGCCAGAACTGACCTTTTGTATTTTTAGTAAGAGCCATTCAGACATATTTTAGGTTATACAATTTGTTGATGTATTATTAATTTTCATAGTAAATTCCTATGATCCTTTGTATTTTGGTACTATCAGTTCTAGTATCTCCTCTCTCATTTCTAACCTCATTTGAGTTTTCTATTATAGGGGCTAGCCAATGACAATCGTATCTTTTTAAAAAAACAACTTGTTTTTCTAACTCTCTATTCCATTTATTTCTGCTCTGATGTTTATTTGCTTCATTATGATAATGTTAGTCTTGAAATGTTCCTTTTCTATCTAGTTCCTTGAAGTGTAACATTAGGTTGTTTATTTAAAATCTTTCTTCTTTTTTGATATAGCACATGTACTCAATGCTATAAATATCCCTCTTACAAATTCTTTTGCTGCATCCTGTAAGTTTTGGTATATTGTATTTTCACTGTCATTTTTCTTTAGATATTTTTTAAATCTTCCCTTTGGTTGCTTCTTTGACCTATTGGTTGTTTGAAGGCAGACTGTTTAATTTTCATATATTTGTGAATGTTCTAGGATTTTTCTTGCTAATGCTTTCTAGTTTCAAGCCATTGTAGTTACAAATGATTTAAATCCTCAAATTTAACTTAAGTTTAAATTTGTTCAGACTTACTTTGTGGTCTAACATAGAACGTCTCCAAGGAGATCATTCCATGTGTGCTTCAGAAGGTGTATTCTGTTGGTATTTTCTGTATGTATCTGTCCATTCATCTAAAATACAGTTCGAGTCCATGGTTCCCTCATTAATTTTCTATCTCAATCATCTGTCCATCATTGAAGGAAGAGTATCAAATCCACCACTATTACTGTAATGCAACAAACTCTTCTTTCTGATCCTTTAATACTTGTTTTACATATTTAGCTGCTCTCTCTATATATATTTATAATTATCATACCCACTTAACAAATTGACTCATTATATAAAGGCCTTTGTTTGGTTTTACAATTTTTGACTCAAAGTATATTTTGTCTATTTTGAGTATAACTATCTACCATTGTTCTTGCTTGGTTTCCAATGGTATGGAATGTCTTTCCTATCCCTTTGTTTCAATTTATGTATGTCTATGAAGGTGAGATAGGTCTCATATTTAGGTAGTATAGTTAGTCTTTTGTATCTTTTTATGCTAATAAAAAGTATAGTTTAATCATGGTACTACTCTGGAGAACAGTCTCAAGAGTTTTGACTTAGTTTCTTTAAGCAGTAGAAAATAACACACTAAACTAATTTCCATAAGCATGTGTTAATATAAGTAAAATACAATGTTTAAAAATAAAATGAAAATAAGTATTATCAGTCCTCCATATAGATTAGAATCTTGATTTAATTTACTAGAATATAAACTTGTTTGGCTATTTCTCAAGCTCAATTTTCCCAGCTATTCTAAAGCCTTAAATACGAAGTTCATACCTGATAAAGCAGAGTAGTGAACTGTGCAGAAACATAAGGACATTTATAAAGCAGCTAGCATGCAGAAGCTGAAAGTGGAAGGTCAAATATGCTAAGGGAGACATCATGTCTGTCTTGTGTGTATGTATTCTCTTCTCAGAGGTCCTCATCCATTGCTTTGAGATCTACTGTCCTCTTTTTAGTGTCTTCCTTCCCTTACACAAAAGTGTCATTACACATCAGCTATTTTATATTAAATTTGATTAGAAACACTGAGGAAGGAAAATCAGTCTGGGAGGGGTTGCACATGATTTGTTCTCAAAGTCAGAGGAGCACAGTTCCAGAGGTGGGGCATTTTATACATGGGATACCAAGCCTGTGATTGGGGAAAACAAGCTGTCTAAAGTAGAGGGTATTTGTGAGAAGCAAGGAAAATATTAAGACTGGAAAGGGAAGGTGGTATAAACTACAAAAATTCCAAACTGCCAAGCTGAATCCTGTAAACCCATTCTATGTTTCAACACAAGGAGAGAAATGATGAAAACAAGAAGAAAAATGTTCAAGTTCGCTAACAGCACCCACAATGGATAATAGGAGGGTAGCGGCCAATGCCTGTCTCAGAAGGAGTATGCCTAGTTCACAGGGGCCTTAGGGAATAGGCCTGGGGGAGGAATGAAAAACAGTGGCAGTAAAAGCAAATTTCTGATTGAAAGGTTTACCCAGAAAAATCTTCTTGATGCATGGTGATGATTATGGCCTCGATAGCATCTCCCACCGAAGTCAGTAAAGGCTGCACAGCACTCCCCATGAGAGCATGAATCGCCTGGTAGGGAGCAAAAAGGCAGGAGAGGGAAAAGCAGAGAAATCAACACCAAGAAATCTGAGATGTGTGAAACATTTTAACTAACAGTTTTCATATTCTATCAAATTCAGACTATACATAGTTTAACTCAACACAAATCTGCTTCTCTCTCTAACTGCTGTCAGTAGCAATTTTCAAAGCTTAAAATATGTAGAACATGGTCCTAAAAAATTTCAGCTCCCCGACTGCTCTCATTTCCCCCTAAGATTTAATGGTTAAGTGAGCTCATGGAGAAAGGATGACACGGAAAGAGAAGAAGGAAAAGTAGTTCCATTTATGAAGTGACAAGCAAATGAACACTTTTTTTTTCTTTTTTTTTTTTTTTTTGTTTTTCCAAAGAGTAAGGCAGAATCAAAAGAAATTCTTTAAAAATTGAAACATTATCATATGCTTTTAAGCACTGATGATTCTCACGGGGAAGAACAGTTAGGCATTTCACAAATTAGGTTTCTGCTGAGAGTTCTACAGCAGTGATTCTCAACTGCGTGCAATTTTGCTCCTTGGGGAACATTTGGCAATGTATGGAGAATTTTGGGTTGTCACGAGCAGGAAGAGGGAGAAGTATGCTACTAGCATCTACTGGTAGATGACAGAGATGCTGCTAACCGTCCCACGGGACAGCCCCCACAACAAGGAGTTACCTAGCCTAAAATGCCCACGTTGCTAGCGGTGAAAAACTCTTCTACAGTGAGGTATAACCATTGGTATATATAAGTTTTTGTAAAAGCCTAGGCCTAAGTTATGGATTTTTGGTAAGAAAACATTGAGAGTTAGTCAACACTCAAAAATTTAAGTATATTATATATGTTTCAGAGATGATTATTACACTTAATGAAGACAAATGACTTTGGCTCATACAAATGATGCATATTAACGAGAAAAGGTTAAAGAGGACTCAACCATTTAGTTTCTGAACACCACCTGTAATCCTTACTCTCTAAAAATAAACATCCTATTTACAGAAGTAAATGCACACGATGCAGCTCGCCCTCAAAGAGCTTGCAGTGACCACAGCCAAATAAGACATCAAGATATAAGTACTATGGCAGAGCACTGGGAAATCACGGAGGGACTTCCGACTTCTCCTGACAAGATGTGAGAAATAAAAAGTATTGCTTCAATTTCAAAGACAAAGAGGAAAGAACCAGAAAAGAAGGCAGAAGCTGGGAGCGCCTCTGTCAGAAGGCACAGGAGCCTGGGGAAGGAAGGCTGAGCAGTCTAGGAAGTGCACAGAGGCACCAAGTGCCTGGCAGTGTGGTTCACACAAGCAGGAGGAGAGGTAATTTGTGTACGCTGCAGAGGGATTAGGGATTTATCATGAAGGGACCAGGAAATTCGTAGTGAGTTTTAAGAATGAAAAAATATGGTGAAGGCTTCCTTTTAGAAAACCTTGTATTGAACAGTAACACAGATAAATCAGACTGAAGACAAGCAAGCAAAGCGAGGGCTGCAGTAGACGAGGGCCTAAACCACTGGGGCAACAGGAGTAGACATGAGGACATGGTAGGACTTGGTAATTAGATCTGGGGATGTATGAGGAGATTTAAGGGCTTCTGTTATTTGTTTGTGTTTTGGTTTGGTTTTGGTCTGCAGTGCTAACCAATGGACTCTTGCATGCTAGGCAAGTATTTTACTGCTAAGCTATGTCCCCAGCCTGAAAATATTTAAGAAAACAAAATAATTTAGTGGTACTGTTAACTGAACATACAATTATAAAGGCAGCAGAGGTTGATTTGAGGATAGAGAGAGAAAATGATTATGAGCTCAGTTTTAGACATGGATTTTGAAATGCTTATGGGAAGTCTACATAGGCTTTCAATAGTAGGTACTGAGATATATTAGCATATTCACAACCAGACCATACATACATGCCCTGGCCCATTAGGCAGTTTGTATTACCCAATGTGATTGTCCCATACTGCCTGATGTGACAGGCATGCAAGTGCCACCATTGGTTCAGGCCACTGGAAATGTGTTAAGTTTGCATTGCCAGAGTAATTTTGACTAGATTTTGTAGTCACTGGCTTTTAAGATGGGTAGGGAAGCCAAAAGAGTCCATGAGATCACAGGGGTTTTTACATAGATTAAAGTAAAATACCATTTTAAGCCACTGATGTATGAAGAAGGGTAAAAACATATACTGAATACACAGTACATATTAGACACCATACTATGCACTTCACGTATAATAATTTCACTTAAAACTAAATTACTACTTCCTCAAAGAATTATTAAAATCTCTAATTTATACTTGGGGAATCTAAAGTAATTTATATACATTATAGGGAAAATCAAGACAAGGAGATTGTGCAGAGACATAAGTAAACAAGTGGAAGAGCTGAGATAATCTAGGCATATCAGATTTTTATAAGCTCTGTTGCTGGGCAGAAGTCAGGAGAGACCTTAGAGTTTGGTAGAAATAAGTAGATAAGAATTCAACAAGGAAGAGCAAGTTTTCAATTTGTGGTGAGAAGGAGTGTCTGACTATAGAATCTTCTACAAATAACTATGGAGAAAAACATACCAAAAACAAAACAGAAAAACCTACTGGAGGGCTTTGGAGACAGAAGAGTGCAGGCAATTTTAGAGAGGCGTGGAGCAAACAATCAGAAGTCAGGGACTTTTGCTGTTGTGTGGCTTTGGTCTAAGGATGACTACAACTGTGGTAAAGCAGGGCTGAGTGGTTAAAACCCAGGAGGGAGAAAAACTGAAACCACATTATCTTTTAGGCCAAAGGAACAGGGGAAGGCAAGCTGTGTCAATTAGGGCTTCAAGAGAGTACGAGGAAACCTTGGGAAGGAGAAGGCCGACAAAAAATGTATAACCCTTTGTTTAAACTCTCTTGTCATCTATGCATGCACAAAGCAAACTAAATATGGCCTGGAACAGAGACTTAAAGTGGGGAACTGAGACCAGAAGCCTGGCCTTCTGCAGATGTGACATGCACAGCTTGAATGTAATCAAGTTAATCACCTACTAAAGGAAATCAACACTCTTATAAGAAACACTAAAAAAATTCTGAGTTTACATAATATAATGCTGATAAGGTCAAGATATATTCAAAATTACTACATATACAAAAGCTAGAGAATTTTAAAGGGAAAAGACATCAATAGATGTCAACTCTAAGATGACCCAGACACTAGAACTCTAAGATGACCCAGACACTAGAACTGGGCTAGAACCAGGCTAGAACCTCAGTGAGGGAAAGAAAGATATGCTCACAGCAAGTAAAATACAGTAATAGGAAATCTCAGCAGAGTAATTCAAACTGAAAAAGAACCGAATGGAGATTGAAAGTTTAAAAGAAATCATACTCTCTAAAATTTAAAAATTGACTATAGGCTTAGCAGAAGAATTGATATGACAAAGGAGTCAATAAATCTGAAGATAAAAGCAACAGAAATCTATCTGGAGAAGAGAAAATAGAAAAATAATTATGCTGTGAAATAACTGCAAAAGATCTAATACATTGGTAACTGGAGTACTATAAGAGGAGAAAATGGGGCTGAAAAACTAGTTGGAGGACAAAAGACCCCAAATTTCTCAAAATAATGAAATCCATTAATTCCTAGATTCCAGAAAATCAGAAAATCCCAAACAGGATAATTTTGAAGAGAATTATCTCTAAGCACATGATAATCAAACTACTGAAAATCAAAGAGAAAGAGAAAATCTTGAAACTAGCAAAAAATATGAGAGGAGAAGATCATGGATCACAAACAAGAGAATCACTTTTAATGAGTGAAGACATCTAATGTGAAAGCAGGGAGGTCAGAGAACTGTAGAACAGTGTACTGAAGCTCTCAAACTGCTACTTCTATTTCCCAAAAGCATGTTCTTTCAGCTGACCACAGTGACACATACCTGTAATCCCTGCTATCTACTCAAAGGCTAAGGCAAGGGAATAGCAAGCTTAAGGACACCCTGTGCATCTTAACAAGACTCTGTCTCACAATCAAATAAAAAGGGCTGCAGATTAGTGGTAGAGTGCTCGCCTACCACATGTAAGCCCCTGGGTTTCATTCAATCCTCAGTACTGAAAAAAAATCTTTCAAAATGGAATAAAAATGGACAGAAGATATGTCATGCAAACATTAAGCATACAAAAGTTGGAGGAGGGGCTGGGGATTTAGCTCAGCGGCAAAAGCGCCTTCCTGGCAAGCGCAAGGTCGTGAGTTCGGTTCCCGGTACCGGAGAAAAACCAACAAAAGTTGGAGTAACCAAATTAATATTAAACCAAATAGACTGTAAGGCAATATTGCAACATTAAAGGGCGATATTTCATAATGAAAGTGTCAGTTCATCAGGAAGTCATAACAATGATAAACACACACACATAACAGACCTTCAATAAAGCTTCAAAATCAAACAAAGAAATAGGGCTGTGGGTGTAGCTCCATGGTAGTGTGCTAGTTTAAGATGTACCAGGTCCTAGGTTCAATCCCCAGTACCACAGAGAGAGAGACAGAGAGAGACAGAAAGAGAGGGAGAGGGAGAGGGAGAGGGAGAGGGAGAAGCAAGTTCATACACTTCATAGATCTTAATTCCTCTATCTCAGCAATGGATACAACTATATAAACTATCCATAGAGACATAGAACATCTGGATACATAATCATTACCTTGATTAATTGGTATTTGTAATATTACACTCAATAATTGCAGAATATATATTACCAGCACATATGGTTCATTTTTCAAGATAAATCATATGCTAAGCCTTAAAACAAAATCTAAACACATTTACACATACATATATCCAAAACACAAATATACAGAAACATAATATATACCAAAAGACAAGAATTAATCATTTTTAAAAACCAGTAATCATAGAGTATGTTTTCTGATAACATAATTAAATTGGAAAACAGATATACACAAAAAATTAGAAACATAAAAAAGCATGCTTCTAAATAATCCATGATTCAATGAAGGAATCACAAATGAAATTTTACAATATTACAAACTGAATGAGGATAAAAAGCACAACACATCAATACTGCAGTGCTTCAAGGGAAGTTTATAACTTTAACTGTTTATTTTAGGGGAGAAAAGGTCCAAGGCCAATGATTTAAGGTCCCAAAATATCTTTGCAAAAAAGCAGAGAAAATCCAAAGTAAAAAACAAAGAACTAAAGAAGATAAAAATCTCTGCACCGAGGGAGACTAAGGCAAGAGGACACTAAGTTTGAGTCCCACCTGAGCAGCGTAGCAAGGTTATCTCAAAAAAGGTGGTGTGTGCACCAGGGATGGACCTCAGTGGTAGAGTGTACCCGCATGCACTCAATACCCAGCATAAAACAAAAAACAAAAACAGAGAAAATAAAGCTTGGAGTTGGTCCTTTAAAAAGATAACGACGTTCATAAACATCTAGCTAGATTAATCAAGGAAAAAAACCCTACACAATCAAAAAATTAAAAAATGTGGGGAAAGGCTATCAGTCTAGATCCTAAGACATTAAACAACAGTAAATGAATATTATGTATATTATACTGACAAATTACACAAATACCTTGAAAGTCACAAAGTGTCAAAGTCCACTCCAAGAAGAAAATTTGAACTGCCCTTTATCTACCAAATAAATTAAATTGGTAGTTATAACTTCCTACAAATCAAACTACATTCCAGATGGCTTTTCTAATAAATTCCACTAAACATTTAAGAGGAAGCAATACAAATTATACACAAATAAACTCTTCCAGAAAATAGATGAGGAAACATTTCCAAACTTACTATTGATGTCAGTATTAACTTGATACAGAATCCAGACAAACACAAGAAGTCTACATACCAATATATCTTATAAACAAATATAACCATTCTTTAAAAAGTAAGTAAATCATGTCCAGAAATACATAAAAGGGATAATACATCATGATAAAGGCTGGCTTGCTATTTGAAGAAAACTGTTATAACGAACTTTACTAACAAAATAAAGGAGTAAAACCACACAATTATTTTAAGAGATGAAGAAAAACCTATTTGATAAAACAACATCATTTATAATTAAAACGTCTCTGTAAACTAGGAATACAAGTGACTTTAATCAGATAAAGACCATCTATGGAAACACTTGTAATTAACACTGTTCTGTAACAAACTTAAAAGTTCTTTTTATACTTAAAATAAGGCAATGCTGAATGCTTTCCTACAGGTCAAGAACCAAGCCTTGAGGTCTACACTCTTGTTCTACACTGGACTAGTGATTTTAGTCAGTGAAACAAACATGGAAAAACAGGCATGAAGAAAATGGCCTCCATTTGCATAACATATGATGGCTCACAATGAAAACTTTACAGCTGGGTGAAGCTTCCCATTTAGGGAATATGAAACAGTAAGAGAATGCTATAAATGTCTTCAAATCAAGGATGGGTAGAGATAACTATCAAAGGAAATGCAGAAAGATTAGGTTATATTTCAGGTGCTCTTTACTAAGTAGGTAAGTCTATTACGTATTTTTAAAAGATTTACCTAAAACAGCCAAGATTACAAAATACTGGAGCCTCAGCAATCTGGAATATTTCCTTATGTAGTATATCAAACCTACACAATAAGGGAGAAGTGCCATATATAAATTTAGCAATACAAATCCTACTGCACAAGAAAATCTCAGTAAAGATGGATCAGAATTGTTGGGCCAAGGTTTATACACTTGTAACTGTGGTGGCTATAATGAAACAACTCTAAAAGTATACTCAGTTATGAATAAAAGTAAAAGAGCATTTTCAAATACTGGGGATCAGCCCAGGGCCTCTCAATGCCAGGCAGCAGCTCTACTACTGCGCTATACCCCCAGCCCCTCTTTTTATTGTCCCTGCTGACTCTGAATGTGTGATGCTCCTGCCTCAGCTGGGGTAACAGGCATGTGCTACCATCGAGAGTATTTAATGTTGTCTCTACAGTAATAAAATCATACTACATTGCATTTGAGTTTTTAGGCTAGAGTTAATTATGTATCGTAACATTCTATCTCTAATTTAAAATGATTTAATATAGTTCTTACAATTTTATGAAAATTAAAGTTTTCCTTTTTACCTTTAAAGTCAGTTTTGTCTTTCACTTAAGTCATGATGGTTTTTGTAAGACTTAACTGAAACACAAAATAAAACTGTTTCATTCAGTTTGTTAACATAAGCGATTAAGTCTCTCAACTGACAGGGCCCCTGCAGAAGAGCGCTGTTCAGACAGCCAGGCATCTTTTTCGTTCTCAAAGGTACAACTGGCGATGAGTCAGCAAACTGTAGTACCCTGCCGCACGTGGGCCTTGGCAAACCACAGAGGGAGGGTTACAGGCAAAATCAGGTCAAGTTCCCCCACGAAGGCTCTAGTTCGCAGCAGGGACTAAAATTAAGAATAATCTTTGTTATATGTTAAAAATAAATACAAAAAAAAAAAAGCCACCCTATGTTGAATTATAATTCCTAAGAAATTTCTATTTTTAACTTTTCTAGGTGACTTTTATCATTTGGCAAGTGAGTGAGCAGGCACTACGTCTTAACCCACAGAATGAACATTTTCAAACTATACGTTGTGATCAGTAGGGCTCTCTACTAAAATAGAAAACCATTGCAGTGCGTCACTATGAAAATATTTTTAAAAGTAATAGATTAATGTAGAAAATATTAGAGTCAAATCACTCAAAATAAGACTAAGAATTGTTTTATGAAACTTTTGTGTCAATTACAGAAACATGGTCTCTGTATTTACAACCATATATATGACTATGTATTTACAAATGCTAATGAGTTACATATGCTGTCATAAAAACATCTGAAGGGCTGGGGATGTAGCTTCACAGTAGAGTGCTTGTCTAGTCCATACGAGGCTCTGGCTCAATCTCTGGCAGCCTATGCGCATGCACACACACAAACACACACAAAACAATGACAAAAAAGCTTGATAGCTACTGCTAGAAAATAAGACAATGTGTTAATTATAGAAAAGAAGACGATCTGTTCCTTGACTGAAACCAGTAATTTAAAAACTCTTTAGTTTCACTACATTAGCCTAGTTTTATGGTATGATTACAATCACCAATGAATTTGACAACTCTTACTAAAACAATTATTTTACTAAGGCAGCTTTCAAAATTATTTGAATACAATAAGATGAGTGCACTGGGGAGAAGAAAAGGATATAGAAAAAAAGCATCCAAGTGTTCTGCTACACAGTGGGGAAAGAAACTGTCTCTCCTCTTCTTCTCCAGAAATCAAACAAACTCACATATGGATTTGGTGACTTTTCTAGGTGAGATTTTGTGGCCTGCTAAATTACAATCCACATAAGCCATGGACAGTATCTCGTCTCAGATTTCCCTTCCCTATTAGAGCCTGTGATCAGATACTCTTCCAACATTCAGCCTCTCTCCAGCTGCTTTGTTTTGTCTTCTTTACCCTCTAAATTGTTTGGCCTTGAGGTTTGTAGTCTTTATCTCTCTCCCTTCTTTTTCAGGCTGTAGCAATCAAAATTCAAACCAATATTATCTTGTTTTGTACTGTCATTTTTCAGATGCAGTAAGACAAGAGACAGCACATTAGCATGTCTGAGGTGATTCAGCTGGTTAAACAGCTGAGATGGGACTCACATACAGGTAGTTTAGCTCCACAGCCTCTGCTCCATAGCTTTGTTCTTAGTAGGCACTAAATAAACATCGAGCAGATGAAGGAATAAAGGAATGATGGCAGCAAAGTACAGGAGGCACAATCAGTAAGAATCAGTAAGATCTGATTTTGAAGATCTGACTTTACCAGCTATATGACAGTGAGCAAGCTATATTTCTTAGGGGTATAAAATGGGCAGAATGTGTTGCTGTAATATGTCAGTACGTGCCTGTGTGTGTGGCTGGCAAGTAGCAACTGCTAAGTAAGGAATTCTACTGCTGCTATAAGAATACATAATTTGCCTGGTTTTTTTTAAGAGTTACCTATTGTTTATACGGCAGGAATCTCATACCGATATTATTTTTATTACACTTCCTGAGTATTGGAAAAGAGTATATTTATGTTAGTATAAAAAATAGAACTGTCTTGATTTTACACCTTACGGTTACATTTTAAAGTCACATTTCTTGGCCTGGGCATTACTGATACTTTGAGCTGGGTAACCTTGTTGTGGGGGTGGCTGTCCTTCACAGGGCAGTGTTCAATAGCACCCTGGCACCCAACACTCACTATACACCAATAGCACTCTTCCTCTGACATGACAACCCAAATTGTCTCCAGATAGTCTCAAATGTGCCCTGGGAGCAAAAGCACCCCGGAGGAGAACCACTGCTTTACTGGATAATACTGGGCTATACTGCCTTAAGATACTATAGTTAAGTGCTTGTAAAACTCTTCCTTCCTGTATAAAATTATCATAAGTAGAATACAATCTGTAGAAACCGAAAGAACTATTTTTAAATTCTAGCAAATACAAACATATGTGTCCTCTTTCTTTAAGATAATTATCAACATGCTATTTTTGGTATATACAGAAGATTCTAAATTATTTTTAAAATATAATATCTACTTAGCCAACAATTCTAAAACCAGTTTGACATATACAGTCAAAGATTAAATTAAATTACTTTACCTTTAGGGCTGAAATTATAGTTTGCTCAGCAGCTGGTGGAAATGAGCTCTGACTGGAAACTACCTAGAACAAGGTTTTGATCCAGTTACATTTTTGCTTAAGTCATTTATTGTTGTAAATACTACCTTTCATAAGAACATGACAAAGCTGTTTTCATAAGCTACATTAAAATATTATTACTTTATATGGTATACATGATTTAAAAACTCAGTTGAAAAATACTTCCACGTACAAAGCAAATACATATTTTAAGATTTAGCTATTATAAACTGCACTGCTATAAACATGGCTACACATATATCGCTGGAAATACACATTTTAAAAACAGACATTCCTTATTTAACAACCTCGTCATTTATCAACTGTTGGAATTTACGACCAAATAGTGCTGTTTGGTCTTATGATCCATCTTTTTTTGGTAAGCTTCCTTGCATCTTGTCTATAGATCTTCAATGTCTATTTTTGTGCAGTACACCTTGTTTATACAGTACTGTAATTTTTGCTGCTTCTACTTACAGTACAACACTATAGTTCTATTCTGTTATATATGACAGTACAGCATGTAAGAGTCATGCAAATAAAAGCGAAGTCATCCAGTTGGAGTTTCCTCTGGCCATTTCTTTGTTCTGAATATTATAATGTACCCACTATATACAATTCCTCATTTAGCGACCAATTCAATTAACGATCTAGTCACGGGACTGTAACTTGGTCATTAAACAAGGAATATCTGTAATTGAAACTGTAAGAATTCTAAGGGCTACCTTTCCTTTATTCAATTCAGAGAGGTTTTAACTATACAGTTTTAGCTTGAGTTAGAAGAAAGCCATATTTACTTATTCCTTTTAAAATATTTACTTTTCTTTAGGCTGACTCTTCAATAAGTCTTTAAAATACAAATGTCAGATATTTATATTTTTACAAATCAATACGAAAATATCAATAAAGACATTTAAATCAGGCTAAATAGAACAACCTTTCATTGCCTGTGGTGCTTTAGAGTAATGACAAAAATAAACGGGATATACAACATTAATTTTTTTTGATAATTTTATTTTTCTGAGATCTACTCATTAATAACCCTTTAAAATATATTTGTTTAGTGTGTGAAATACATGTTTTTTTTTAGAAACCCTTAACTGAAAAAAGAATTTGGTAAAAATCTTAAATAAATGTTTAGTAGTTACATAACTATTTTAAAATACAATCATGTTAAAGCTCATCTTATAGGTGAAATCTGTAAGAACATTAGCTAATCTTCTTCCTTCTAGTCTTCTAAATATCTTTCTACTTACTAAATACTTTGAAAATGATCTACAGAGTATAAACATGAGCTACTTGAAAGTCATGGATGAAGTTAAAAGTGTTGTTTTCATAGTAATGAAGAATATAGTTCAGCTTAATCATAATAAAGAGTTAGCCTCCAGTATATGGATTCTGCATTTATAGGTTCAACTAAACATGGATTAAAAAATTAAGGAATTAAAACAAAAAACTACCTTTGTACTGAAAACGTGCAGAACTTTTTCTTGTCATGATTCCCTAAACCATACAGTGTAACTATTTACACAGTATTTACATTGTATTGGGTATTATAACCTAGAGATATCATGTGCAGGAGGATACCATATACATTGGTTGGAGAATACATGCGAATGCTATGCCACTTTAGATAAGGGATTGAGCATCGATGGATTCTGGTATCCATAGAAAGTGGGAAGGAGCCCTAGAACCAATGTGCCACAGATACCAAAGGATTACTGCATATGAGGCAAAAAAGTTAAGGTCTAGCCATTTCTTTTAAATGCTTTAGTAGAAAAGTAACAAAAAAGAATATTGTCTATTTGCAAGTAGTCATTAATGATGATGCTATAAAAATTGTTGTTTTTAATAAAGCTTCTCCTTTCATTTTTTGAGCTATAGTAGGAATTTCTGATGTTGCAGGGCCTGACAGTTCTTATTCTGTCATTAGCTTTGCTATACCTTATTAATATCCACCCAAGATCAAATTAGTTTCCAATAAGTATGAAACATATCTATTCATCCTTTAATAATTTGTACCATCAATTTGATTAACTTGAGGGTCTATAGTTCATGCGTTTTAAGCCAAATATAAAAACAAAAATGATAGAAATAATAAAGGCCAGGATTAAAGACTATAAAAACAGTTAACTCCTCAGTTTATTTTACAATCATGACATTTTCATAGTATTATTTTCTAAAAAACTAATAATTTGTGATTTGTCCAAATTTGAGGCAAGAAGGAAGAAGTTAAAATTAAATCAAAAGAAACTAATTAAAACAAAATAAAGTTACCTTTGTTATTGACTGGTGCAGCTTATACAATGAATTCACCACTGCTACGTTTCTTTTCTGCCCTTCAGTAAGAGGCCCGATCACCTGACTTGCATCTCCTTGTGTGGACAGCTGTAAGAATTCAACACAATAAGATATTACCAAATGGATATTGTATATTTTTCCTTTAACTGGGGAGATGTTTCAGACTCACTTGAAAAACAGAATGTTAACTGGAAATACTGAGGTCAAGTTTTGGACTTCAGGTAAAAGGAATCTCTGCAGAGACAACATCATCAATGTGGAAGTAAATTGGTCTTGTACAGGAAGAACAACTCCTTCAATACTTCACAGCTGATGAGCCCATGAGACAGGTGTGACCCAAATGCCCAGTGTGTGCTGTTATTTTGATATACTAGCATAGCGACCCTAAGGAATACCTTCTGGCAAATGCCAATAGACTTCTTTCTATTCAAATTCAAATAAGCCACCAAAAAAGGAAGGAAAAGAGGAGGGGAAAAATAAACCTTAGTCTTGTGTATATTTGCCAGTTATCCCAATATTCCAGTGAAACAGAAAGTGGAAAGAGGATATTACTCTTTTGGTAGGTTTTGTTTTTTTAAAAAGGAAATTGCCCTATACTATGCATGGATGATCAGTAGAACTGATATTAAAAAGTTTATATTCCCAGTCTTTAATTTATTTCTAAATGCATGAATTTTAGGGGAAAAAACATGGATTGCCTTATTGAGCTAATTTGTATCTGTTATAGATTGCGTTTAAGAAAAATAATCCACACGTTAATAGCTGTCATACTGATCTGATTTTAATCCAGTCTCTACAGCAATTATTACTTGAAGGTAAATTAAACTTGATAAGGACATATAAAACATGATATAATTTACTCCATGAATGTGAACAGAAACCTCAAACATGAAAAATTGACCTTTTAGGAGAACTAAACCTAAGAAAGCCTTCCCACATAAACTGAGAAAAAAAAAACATTTTTGCTTTCTTCCAATAAACACATAATTTTAAAAAATTAAATTCTATCTCTACTTTTTCATTTCCCATTGGTATGAAATAGAATGGTAAAAAGCATTAAAAACTGCAGTTAAGAAGAAAAGGGAATAATCATTCTTTAAAGTTGCCATTTGTGATGGTGGTTAAATCCACATAAGACATTTTCATATCAGGTTAAATAACTCCAATTTATTTTTACTTTTCTCATGGACATAGTTTACCAACTTGAATGAAGTTGTATTCTAAAATAGTCATTTGTGGGGCAGTCTGAACAAAATTGTATTTTCCTGTGGTGAAATGATGTTAAAAGTTAGATATTCAAAGGAGTCCATCAGTCCAATATAATCTCTCATGTGGTGCTGCAGTATTTTCAGAAGCTCTGTGCTACCAAGACAAAGCAGACGCTGGGCTCCGTGCAGTGTGTGGGGGCCACTCTGGAGGTTAAATTGCAGTGGTCAATGGCATCAGTACTATGGCAATGGGGAGCGGCTGACTGTATACCTGACTACAATGAGCACTTAAAAGTTAGGAGCTCACTGGCACATGCCTGTAGTTCCAGCCTCTGAGAGGCAGAGGCAGGAAGATTAGATAAGCCAAGGAGTTTGAGGTCAGTTGGGGTACCACATCAAGACTTAGTCTCAAAAAACAAAAAGAAAATGAAAAAATAAAAAAGTTATGAGCTTGAGCCATACAATTTTGAAAATCTAATCCTTCTTGGTTATCTTAAACAATTTCAAAGAATTCGCAAAGAAATGAGAAAGGGATTTTTTTCTTATTTTATTTCAATTTATATTACCTACATGAATTAATCTTATCTTAATCCATGTGCTCCATATTTAATGAAGAAATAAGTTTACTGTGAGAAAAGACTGAAGATCACTTTATTAAAGGGGATTGATGAGCCTGAATTACTGAAATAGTAGGCTATACAGTTAGCATGAAGATAGGTCCTTATATGTTAATTTGCTGGTGAAATGACCACGATCTCCCTAATCATCAGCACTGAAGATTAAAAGTAAAAGAAATAAACTTGGCAAGGCAAGGGATGAGTTAGCTAACAGCTTTAAATTTCTATACAGAAAATTTATTGAAAATTACTTGTAGGGAGTTATAAACCTGACTCCGAAAAATGTCTAAAAAGAACAATAATATATTGTAAATTAGTTATGAATTACAAAAGTGTAAATTATTTCCCAGATATTGTGGAAGGTCCTATGTATCTATTATTTCCATTACTGCTAGGACAATGCCAAGACTACAGGATCATTCCTTTTTACATGGATTATTCATAATCTTTCTAATTACTTCTCTATAAGCATACATAAAATACATAAAAGTCTCTATTATAATGTCATAGATTTAAAGAAGCAAAACAAAGTGAAATGTATATGAATCACACTATTTCCTAAATAAAAATGAATAAACATTTTCACAGTCAAATCATGTATTTTTAATAAAAATTTTGAAATAAGCTTTGATGAAGCTTTATAGTTACAGCTATACTTATTTTTCAAAAAGTAGTATGCCTTTGTACAATTACCAAATTAATTTTTAATATATAATTTCTAATAAGGTAAAATGTTTTGATCTAATATAGGCTTTCTACCCAATTTTAAGATTCGTAGCAAAAAAATACACACAAAATGGCAAAGTATTATCATTGCTCTTCTTTTAATAATAAGCAGGAAAGCCAAATATGTGGGCTTTCAAACTGCTGCTTCTCCTTTCCATGCATGAGAAAGACATCAGGAATCAATGTTGTGCTGTTATGGCATCCCAACACAGCACTCCAGGAAGTGACTGGAGAGCTCTTAGAGTTAAGAGATGAAATCTAATTCCTGATGCACACCCTGTCAGTACTTTAGACACAAGGTCCAGCGATCCCAGGTGCAGTATATGACTCATCTAAGTGTTTCCCAAGCCAGGAGATCCTACCTGGCAAAACATTCCAAGAGCTTTAAAATTGCTGTTTCTTTCCATATTCCTCCATTAAAATGTCTCCCAAGAGAACAACACAGAAAAGTTACATGCATGAAGCTGCTATTTATAAGATAAAAAAAATAAGAACACTATACAAACTTAAGACTAAAGGAATAGTTGGGTACATTAAGCAACTCACATGAAGGAACTAAGTACAGTTTGTCTATGAGTAGTTCATTCCCACAAAAAGACTGGAAAATAAAAATGCTAATATTATGAAACATTACATCAAAAGGAAAGTCAGTAAAACACTAATAAAGAACACTTTGGAATTCCTTGAAGTATCTAAAAGGCTCACTTGTTAAATATCCTTAGAATCTGTCATACAAAATAATTTCATCTATTATAAAAATTGAAAGATAAAATTTCCCTCTGTGAAAAACTTAAGATAAAATGGGTAAATAAACTTCTTCAGTTACTCTTCACTTGCCCAAAAGAAGGATTTAGGGAAAAATAATTTCCTTAAGGTACTATTCAGTAAACTAATATGTGACAAAAATGAAAACAAATGCTTTTTATTTTGGCTTATATATTGTCTTGGTTACTTTTCTCTTGTTGCTGAGACAAAATACCCAATGCCCAAAATTAAGGAAAGAAAGGTTTATTTAGCTCACAGTTTGTGGAGATTTCAGTCCATACTTAGCTGGCTCCAAGGCAGAGGGCAACAGTTCATGGCGGTGGAAAAACAGCAAAAACAGTAAGAGCAAAAGGGAGGAGTGGCAGCTAGCAGCCTCTTTCCCTCCCTTACATATGCAAACTATCTGCCACAGGGCAGGTGTAGCACTCACACCCATAATTCCAATATGGACTACAGATCAATAAAAAAATCTAGAATAGAAGCCTACCCCATGACTGCATGAGGATTTGGGGGGAAACGCAGACACAAACCACAACATATATCAAATGTTTTCATCATAGATTACCTGGCTGAGATTTAAATATAAAAATTATGATTATGTATTATTATGTCAATTATCCTATACAAATAGAATTGTATGTTCAGATATATGTGTAACCCAAATTAAATTATCAAATGTTTTAATTCTAAATATAGTTTGTAATACATTAAAGTTGCATTTCATTTAAAATCTTCAGACTTAGGATATATTTTAGCAAATGTAACACAAAGAACAAATCCACAGATTTACACAGCATTGCTTATTTCCCTGGGACACAACCTAACTAAACTTTCTTGGTGAATAATACTAATTTGCTTGGGTGCTAAAACCATCAGAAAATATTTTCCAGAAAATCTTCCTACAGTGGGTGTCACACTTCTCTGGTTTCAGGCAAAATCTACTTAAATTAACCACTGCGGTCATTTGCTAGTGTGAGAATGAGCTATTACACATCTTTTTCAAAGTGGCTTATTAGAGCTCTGTAAGGAATGTCTAGTTGTTTGCCCTTTCACTGATACAACAGCCATAGGTTAAATCTTTTAAATGCTGTGTCTCCTTCCCTTATTCCCAAAGTGTAGGCTTTTTTTAAAGGACCTCTTTTTGATATTCTCCCCTCATCTTGGTTTAATCTACCTTGAAGTGGAAAAGTAAAGGACTAACCATGCTAAACTAGGAGACTTTCCTGGGAGTGCAGAGTGTACTTTATTGAACGGACGTGGTGACACCAATTTCAGCTGCTCAGAGAATGTTTTCTTTCCCTCCTGGTCTTCAAACTGCACAAAACTGTGCATGCACTAGCCAGTTCTGCTCTATATAAGGAGCATTCCCTCACACCATTAGGTCAGTCAAGAGGGCCTCTGTCACTATCCCCTTGTGGTGCAGTACAGGTCCCAATTAAACCTTGCTCCAAAACTTATGATTCTTTATTTCCGAAAGAATGGTCTGAGTGGGTTGTACTACAAGTAGCTGGTAAGACTAGGGACTACTATCCACCACCAGTTTCAGAAACCAGTGGTTTAGATGTGCAGTGACCTGTTGAAAGTCTTCCAGAAAGCTGCAAAGAGGGCTATAGGCCTCAGCTGCTAAGGAGGGTGGCCAGAAGCTGCTGAGAACCATAGCACTAGGAGCTGTCACAGTAAGGGCTGAGAGTGAGTGGAATGCAAAACCCTAACATCAAGGGGGGTGAAATTTGCTGATTTTGTGATTTCCATCTGAATTAAGTAAAAGAAT